CCCCGAGGCAGCCCCGACGCCGCTGCTGCCGCCGCCCGGCGTACGGCCCGGGGCGGGCGGCAGCGGCTCCGTCTCCTCCTCGCCGTCCCACTCCAGACCCATCTCCTCTTCCTCCTCCTCCTCGTCCAGCAGCAGCCCCCCATCGGCTCCGTCCTCCTCCTCCTCGTCCCCCGTTATCTGCACCTCCTGGATCTCATCCTCCTCCTCGCCCTCCTCCTCCTCGCCGGCGCTGCAGTAGCGGTGCGGGCGGGGGGCGACGCCGCGGCCGGACGGCCGGTCCCCCGCATTGTTCCCGCCGCCTCCGCCGCGTCCGCCGCCCCCTCCGCCGCCGCCGCTCCACTCTCCGCCGGCGCCGCCGCTGCCAGGCATTCTCGCCATATTGCCGTCTCCCTGCCAGTCCTCGGGCAGGGCGCATGCGCTATATTGGACCGCAGCGCTGGAGCGCTTTTGTGTTTTAATGACCTTCAGCTACCGGGAGGCAAAGCCGGGCTCTTAAAGGGGCCGCGCTCCCAGTGGCGGCGGCGGGGAAGGGGCGGGAGAGGTTGGGATGGATGGGGAGGAGGCTGAGTGGCGCTCAGGGGGTACCGCGGGGAAGAGAGCGGTACTTACCGCGCCCGCCGCTCACCTCGGGTCCGTCCCGTCGAGCAGCGCTGATGGGCGCCGGGCGCGGGGATGAACCGCCGGGCAGGTGCGCCGCAGCCCGGAGCTTGCCCCGCCATCCCCGGCGCCCGTCCCACCTCCCCATCCCCGAAAAAGAAAGCGCTCCGCGTGCGGAGCGGCTCTTTCGGTAGGGACGGACCGCCGCCAAGATGCTACGACGCCTCGCACCTTCTCATTCCACAGTAACTTAAACATAGACCAAAAAGAAAAAAAAACCGCAAAGCGAAGGAAAGGGGAAAAAAAAACAAATAAAACCCAAACACACACACACAAAAGACTCAGGCTGTGCTTGTCCGCAGCACGGCTCAGACCTCGATAGGATGCTGCCGGGGAGCGGGYGGAGGACCCGGCCCCGTTCCCCGCCTGCCGTACTGCCGCGACATCGCCTGCCGCCGACCTCGCACCTTTAATCGGGCGCCCGGATTTCGGTCGAGGGGCTCGGGAGGAGACGGACGCTCGGGGCATTGCATCCGTGCGGCTCGGAGTCCGCTCGGGAACAGCCAGTTGGTAGCCGCGGCGCTCGCTTGGCTTGCGGGAGCACCGGCGAGGCTGGCTGCGGAGAGGGAGCAATAAGGACTCGGGGGCTGACGGGCGCTTCGGGCCGCCCTCTTGCTCGCTGGGGCTGCAGACCTTAGGGCAGCCGGAGGACCCTCGGCCCCCCCGTGCCGYCGCTGCCTCCCATCGCGCCCGCGTTCTTCCTCTGCTACTCTCTTCAGCGACGGAGCAAAACCCGAGGGCACTCCCGCAACCGCGCCGGGGTGCGGAGCCGCCGGACCCAATAAGGGCACTTTGCGCGGGTTTGGCAGAAGGGAGCCCCGGAGCGGAGCAGCGCGGGCGGGGGGCGCGGAGCCCCGGCTCAGCCCTGCCCCCGCCCCGTGCGCGCCCGCGGGGCGCTCCGTCTCCCGGCCGGCTCTGCTCCGGGAAGGCGGCTGGCTGCACACTGCCTTACCCTTCCTTCCCGGGAAGGGTCCTTGGCCGGGCTGGGCGAGGGCAGGAACGAGGGCATAAGCCTACGGCCGCGCACCGCGGCGAGAGGGAGCCTGTCCCACTTGGGACGGGAGGGGACGAGGTGGCTCCCCGCTGGTAGCACCCACACTCTCCCTACCAAACCACCCCACGGAACTCCCCGTGCCATTTAGCCGGGCGATTTCTTTTATTCKGTACGATGAAATAAATATTCATTACGACTGCTGGCTACACCTGAAATTATAGCCCTAATTGCGGAGCTGTTGGCCTGMGTTACCACATTTGCTGCTTACTCATCCGTAAGCGATTGCTCAGCGCCGGGCCCCAGCCGTGGTGGTTCCCCTTGGGGGGGCTCGGTGCCCGCCGGTGCTGGGCGACTCCGAGCCCCGTGGCCACTCCCGTGGGGCAGACACCGACGGCCACGGACGGGGCGTCCTGGACAGCCCCGGCTCTCGCCGTCCGGGGAAACGTGGGATGCCAAAGAAGGGATGTGCAAATTGTTGAGCAAATTAGGCCAATTCGAAATAAATAAGCACTGCGGGAAGAGAGCCTGCCACTCCCGGGAAATAATTGAAGAGAAACGCGGCACTGTTATATTGATGTAAGCCTGGAGTAATTACACGGAGGTCAAAGTTGTTGCGCACAGTACAGAAGTTGTGCTCACTCTGTAGTTTGAGAGAGGATTATGTTCCCTCTTAGGTCGATGGCACACATATAAAATTCTGCA